TATTGAACTATGATCGTTTGCTGATTTATGCCATGAAAGTTATTAATGGTCCTTAATTATCAACATATTTATTATTATTAGGGCATTTTGCTAAAATATCCATAATGTAGATCAGACCAGGTTTAGTGGTGACACAATAAAGAGGAAAAATATTGCCAATGTAATAGGCAACAATATTAAATCTCTATATTGAATATGTATAATTTTCCTATTATTTGTTTTGTGTTTTAATATAGCCGTATAAAGCATATCAATATAAGTTTAATTGTAGACATACTTTGTTTACCTAGTTTTAGATTTTCTAAGGAAAACTAAGTGAACAGATCCTCTATAGAAAACAAACTTAAACATGGCATTCATTTACAAATTTTAGTGAAACCTTGTGTTTATTTGCTGAGTGTAATATATCTAAAAAATAAAATATAAAATGTGCCATTACTTTTGCTCAGGCTGCATTGTATGTTTTATTTTTTCACAATGTGTTAAATTCAATTAAATAAACAGTAATTGGGCACTAAAATGTGGAGAAGTGTGTTCTCTGTAGAGGACGTGTACTTATGTGATTTGACCTGGCTGGCCAAACGTTTGCATACAACTTCATATAGGAGCCTGACAAAATCCTTACATTTAATGTACATTATTGTAACACGATTTTATTCCAAGTAACTTTAACCCATTTCTATTGGTCTGTTTGGGAAGTCTTTAAATCTGGACATTTATTCCTGTTTTATGCTGGTAGGTTGGTAGGTGGCCAGTCAGTTACAGGTAAGTTAACTATCAGTGATTACAAAATACTGGACAGGATACTAAATTTTAAGTTCACATTTGAAGTCTATTACTGATATCATCAAGGATTGTGGCCTGTAGATATGTGGCTGTGTGCTGGAAGTTCTGTGCTCACATGCTGAGTGAAAAATCAAGTGGAAACAAGCTGCAGCTCATTACAGCTTCAGTTTTGAGAGCTTCAAATTCATGTTTTTCCCAGAGTGCATCCAGTCCACTTGAATGCCTGTTCACCGCTCATGTTTCAGCACATGCTTCCCATAGTGGTGCAACATGTGCTATTCCATTAAGGAGTGTTGGCCAAGCTTTCAGGAGCTACAGGTGCTTTGGTAACAATGGTTGGAAAAATAAAACCACAAGCTAAGAGATTGTCCTATTGAGTAGTGATTTGCAGCACCACTCATTTTCCTTTAGTCTGATACCAAGTAATACAACGGCTAATCTCTTGATACTAATGCTGACACTCTTATGTGTCTTTGGCACATGAAAAGAGGAAAACCAGTAAATGTGGACGTCATCATCAAAACAGTAGACGTTACTGTTCAAAAGTTTGAAATCACAATACAAAAGTGTGGAATCACAGTTTTCAATAATATACAATTTTTATTGCTGATACAAAATACTAAAATCAGTCTTCTATGACGCTAATATTTTACACCTTTAGGTTTCAACTCATTTGCAAGAAGTATTAAAAACTGGAAAACTGTAGATGTGTCCAGAAGAATGAACAGAGCTGTAGATGGGAAAACTGTATAACATTGAGAATGATGTTCTAATAATTTCATGTTATATGCTTCATATTTGTAAAGTGTTGATCACATTTTGAGGCAGATAACTTGAAATGACGATAAATAGAAAATAACATTTTTATCACCATTTAATAACTCCTTTTTGGTCTCAATAACTGAGAAAGCTGTAAAACATCAAGAATTAAGTTATATTAAAACTAACATCCAGAATGCCAGATCAAGTATCGAGACAGATAACATATAACTTTAAACAGATAATAGTATATTAGTCATTACTGAGTATCTATTTGATGTTTATAAAAACTTAAGATAAGATACGATGAATATTGAACATCTGAAATTACCTTCACGTGTTTAATTTATAATATTGGAATCTATAAATTAGAAAAAAATAATCAAACTGAATGTGTTTGCAGAAAAAACAACTTTTAAGACTGACCTTTGGTGGTGTGGAAAAATATCCCTGCAAATTTCTTTGGAAAACTCAAAGCAAGTCTCCTGAAAAGTATGTAAGCTGTAATACAGGCAAGTATGGACACACTAAATACTGAAAAATGGGATATTATACTTGTTGAGGCTTTTGTGTAATATTCTTTTAAATATGTTTTTTGATTTGTTTTGAGGCTGAATAATGAACAACTTGTATTTAATGGCTGTTTTGACTGGAAATTAAATAAAAGAAGGGTGGTCTCTGACTTGTGCACAGTACTGGATATATTTAGTTTGCTTCACGTGAGAATCAGTTCTCTAAAAGATACGTTAGAAAGGAAGTATCAGTACTTCAGTATTGGTCCACCCATTCCTAACATTGAGTTTTAGCAAGTTTAAGTGTCTATTTCACCTCCATCGTGTGGAATGCAGCAGCATCATTGGAAAAGTGCCCAAACTGGCTGAGCCACAACGTGCAGGCACGGACTTTCAGCTGGACTGAGCAGCAGCCAACTCACTTTATATGCATGTCATGTGTGCCCTGCTGTTAGAGGCCCAGGTTCTATGAGACAGCAACTTTGAGGTTGAGGGCTGATACTGGAGTGTGATTTCGATACTAGAGACACCAGAGACACTGTCTTCTCATCCACTGTTTTTTGCTGGACATTGAACCTCTAAATTAAGCAGAACTAATGGAAGTTAGTGTTTACTGATGTGAAACAGGGAATGCTTGATTGAGGTTTCATGCAGAATTACACTGAGGGCCAGCAGAGATTCACAAAGGAACACAACACTCTGGCTTACTTGAACATATCTATGGGAACATATCCAAGACCCTCGCAGTAACACTGGGATGGCTTTCCTTTCCATATGCCCAAATAGGCATTGTTCATTGTTCACAAAAGCACAAAAGCATACACCTACATGTGTAAACATACAAAAAGAAGAGTATGATAAGCTCACTTTATACCAGGATGTTGTCATTGCAAGTGAAAGCTCACCTTTGGAAATTTGTCTGATATGCTAAACATAGTGTGGTTCTACTCATCATTCTACAGAGGTCATACAATTATTCTAGCTCTGATACTTGTTTTTTTCTCTGATACTTTGTTGCAACTGAGCTCCCAACAATTAAAATGTTGAAAGCATAAATGCATAAATTCAAGCAAGCATGAAGTTTGGCAATTTTGGTAATTACCTTTTTGAAAAGGTGAAGTTCACCTAAATTTGCTTGTGCCTATTATGCAAATATAAAACATTTGTAATCAATTGGAGTCTGAGGTATGAAAGTTTTGTGGCTGATATATCAGTCAGGCCTAATGCATACACAGTTACAGTACTTCCTACTTGTGTCTTCTGAGTTTTTGCATGTAATGTTGATACTAATAAAATAGTGGTACAAGTGAAAAATTCTGTTTTGCCTTCCAGTGCCCTGCATATACTTCTCCGTTAGCATATACCTAAGGCCAAAACCATCTCAAAACTATCTTAGAGCAATGTTTTTTGCCCAGGGCAATGTATTCGTAACCATTTCCATTTAGTAACTTTCTGTAATGTAGCTTTTAGGGGCATGAAACACTCAAGATGTCTGATTTCTGCCACTAATACTATGAACAATTCTGACTCAGAAAGTTCCTCTAAAACAACTCATATTACATCAAATCACTCTGAATGACTTGTTTACATTGAGACAATTTAATTATGCTGAAAAGGAAAATCAGTGGAATTCCGCTAGTGGTTATGCTATGATTGGATACAGAGCTCAGAATTTAGTTAATTTGGTTAGAAAGCCGCACATCACTTGATGGTATAAACAAATAACAGCAGGAGACAGGAATAAACAAAGCATCTAAAGTGGGCATTAGATGGAGCAGCACAAGATAAGCAAAAATTTTTAATGATATTAATACTAACACTGCTACTACTACTACTGCTAATAGTAATAGTGATAAAAATGCTGGTAATCCAATGCAGTCGTACCATTTTGGTTCAGTTACATGGCATTACATCATGCATTTATTACATTCAATTTGTTTAATCTAATATAGTCCTGACTGCTTGACTGACTTCATTAAAAACATATACTAAAAAAAAAAGTTTAATAAAGCAAATCAATGTGCTCGTTTCCCCTCTTTCATATTTCAAAGATGTATAATCAACACTGCCCTCTAGTGGCATTTCTGAAGAAGTGACCTCTACCACTGAATGAACTGACCCACTCCATGGGTCATTGTGATTCAATCATTGTAACAGATTTTCTGCCTTACCATGACGTATTTCTGAAATAGGGTATCTTGCAGGGTCTCTAAGCTGGCTGAGCATTTCACTCAATTATAGGTGGTGTGTTGGGTGGTGAAACATGATGTTACTGGTTAATATTATTTTCCCTGCCTGCTGGTCCATGGAGACATAATCAAAACACAAAAGATTTTAAAGCGTGCAAAAGTCACTACACCTCCATAAAAGATTACAGGGAAACAAGAATTGTATGTTTAAAATAATACAGTATGATGTAGTATGATTACCATGAACTAACAAGGTAAAAAAGGAACATTGTGATTTCCGGTTGACTGTAAGTAACATTTAACACAAATAAGCGGAAGACAATGTGTACAGACAAAGTGTTTCACTACCAAAGTGAAGACAACCTACTATAGTTTGGGCAGTCCTGGTCAAATGACCTGATTTGTTAGGTTTCTAAGTGAAAATAAGTATGCATCCTCTACAGAGAATACACTGGTGCACATTTTAATGCACAGTTACTATTTATTTGCTAAATTTAACTTATTGGCAAAAAGTGCAAAAGTTATGGCACTTTTTATGTTTTACAATATGTTACATTCAACAAATAAATTGAATTTGTGCACTAAAATATACATAAAAAACAAGTCTTTGTTCTCTGTAGAGAATGTGTTAACTTTTTTTAGAATATCAACAATGCATATCATTTGCACAGGATTTTTTTCAAATGTTTGCATATTGAGAAAAAATAGCAAGGAGAAAAATGGTGGGGAAAAAAACAATAGAATTTGATCTGGATTTTAATTCTTGATGACTTTAATAAGTCTTGTTTGTTCTCCATTGAAAAGTAGAAAAAAGAAAAAAATCATCAATCTAACGTCTAAATTATAATACAGATGCAAAATTCACTGGTATATTTACATATCATATATTATGCTACAAATGCCATTGCCCTGAAAAAAATCAGAGTATTCAAACAATAGAAAATATTTCCTCCTAAATTCAGAGGAGAAATCAAATATATCACTAAACAATACTTAAAAATATTAAGATATTTAAATATTTCATTGTCATAAAGAAGTGCTCTTTGGGGGAGAAAGGTATTCTGAGACATCACTAACCTTTGATCAACTCACTTCAGTCAAAACTTTGTATTCAGCGTGCTAGCATCTGTGTGGTTTGTTTGATTAAAGTAGCTTGTTTCTGCATCTGTAAGGTGTGCAGGCCCAGAGTCAGTTTCTTCTGAGCAAGTGTCCGTATCCTCTTTGTGGCTGCAGTCAGCAAGAGCAGCCTCGTTGTGGTCGGCCACTCTCTGGGCAGTGATTGTATGGCTAGTGTCTGTGGTGGTAGAGCCTATGAGAGTACTGCTACCACTGCTGGAGTCCACACTCCCTGAGTCTGCATTGGAATAACTGATAGACTTAGCATCAGCACATTCAGGATTACCATGGTCCATATTTTCATGCTCTGCTTCACTAGAATCTGTGTGTCCAGCCAGCTCCCTCTTTAGGCTTTGCGCGCTGTCCATGTATCTCTGGCTCAGCTCTGCATCAGGCAGGTGGTTGGCATGGATCTCTGCCAGCTTCATGTAAATGATATACAGGGCTTGAGGGTTTCCACTGTCCTCCAGAGCTGCTGCCAGGGCCAAGTGGAAATAGCCCACTGCATCAAATGCATCCTGAGGAGCAGGCACAGGGAGCATTTATATGCTATATATACATCTACATTTCTGCATTTAGCAGACACTCCTATTCGCAGTCTTCATAAAAAACTTGCTAAATGGTTCTTGGGTTGGTGCATGGCTCTAGGAAATGCTTAACTGGTAGAAAACCTTCTTTATTTGTACAGTCCTAAAACTTTAAAAACAATTTAAAAATTGGCTGCTCAAAGAATCATCCACTCAAAGATTCTTCAAGAAACCAAAAGTGATTCTTTTATGAAATCGCTCCAAAGACAACTTGTAAACAGAGGAAGCCAAACTGAGTCAAAGTACCCAGAGAATCTCTGGGAAGACTTATAACCTCAAAGACAAGAGGCTTATTATAGCTTGATCTAGTTAAATAAATACAAAAGGACCTTGTGGTCAAATATAATATAAAGTGCAGAAGTTGAGACAATATGTGAAATACAGATAAAACAGAAAGCAATGATTTGTAAATCTACCTTACCTGTATTTAAACAAAAAGAGCACAAAGACAAGATATTTAATGTTTTACCTTATCGACTTCATTGTTTTTCATAAATATACACTCACTTTCAAATTGATGCCTGGAACATATCCCAAAAAAACTGAGACAGGAACAATTTAAGGCTAGGAATGTTGTGAAATGTCCAAAAACATCTTAAACAGGTGATGCAATCATGCTTGAGTATGAAAGGAGCATCAAGACTCGTCTCTGGGACAAAAAACGTATCAGCAAATATTCCCACATAAGAACAACATTCCGCAACGAGCGACTGCAATGATTTTAGTCTTTTCACATTTTATGGTTCATAGTGTCATCCAAATCACAAATAAATGCCCATGACCTTCGATCCTCAGATGGGCTTAGAAACAGTTTGAAGATCATGTCAATAAATACCGTTCAATCGCTGCATCCCCAAATGCAAGTTAAGACTGCACAGCAGAAGCCATGTTTTCAAAATGCCTAGAAACGCAGCTGACTTCTCTAGGCTCAAGCTCTGAAATGAACTGATGCACAGTGAAAACATGTTTCGTTGTCTAAGTCAACATGTCAGATTGTTTTTAGAAATAAAATGTCTTCTCCAGGCCAAAGAACAAAAAACTCATCCAGACTGTTACCAGTATAAAGTCCAAAAGCCAGAGTCTTTAGTCCCCAAATGATTATTAAGTGTTGTTTAAAGGAAAGGTGATAAAACGCAGAGGTAAACATGCTCCTGTCCCAACTTTTTTGGAACGTAAAACCTAAAATATCATGGTTATGTACTGTTTACAAAGTAATACATGTCAGCTAAAATGCACTAATCACTACTTTCTGTGTTTATAAGCACTCCACATGCACTCCACATACTGTCCAAATTTTCTGGGAATTTATGTGTGCATGATAATAGTCATGATGTAGTGAATATGACATATGCAATCACTTTTATGTTTGTTAATACATCTGGTATAAACAGTAAGTAATAAACTAGGTTCCTAAATATTCCTTTGCTTGGACATAAAATTTAAGCCAAGAGTTATATAATGGGTATATAATGGGTCATAATCTGCATTATGAGGAGGTTCTTTGAACCTACAAAAAGGTTATTCACATTCGTGAATCTCTACCAAAATAGTTCCCACCCACTGAAAGCTTATTTAGGGAACCAAAACTGCTTCTTCTATGACTTTGCTCCAAATAACCTTTTATGGAACCCTTATGAAGTGCATGTGCAAAATCAGTATGATGTGTCTGCATGTATGCTATTAACAAAGGCTGATAACAGCTCTCACTGTGGTATTTAAAGTCAGATAAAGACTAAACTCTCAGCACTGGCTGCATCTCACCTTAAGCTTGTGCAGTGTTAGCTCAGCAAGTCTGCAGTAAACTTTAACATAATAGTGGGCCTCAGCAGTATTCTCCAGAACAGTGGGAGACAGAGACAAAGCTTTCAAGTAGTAGTTCTCTGCCATCTCATACTGCTCCAGACAGAAGTAGACTGATGCCAGGCGATGGTAGGCTACCCTTTCATTCAGACGTACACCTGTGCAGTTAAAAAAACACAAAATGCATTTTTAAAGATGTTTTAGATGGTGTATTACGACAGATTAGATCTGTGAGACAGAATGATTTATTTTTGTACATTAGTAATTTATATAATCTACATGAAGTTTGTTAAAGTGGGTGACATATGTCGGCATAAATCTTTATTTAGTGCTTAAATGTCATTTGGAAAAAAGAGAGAACAGAGGAAAAATTAAACTGAAGGAGAAAGCTGTGGTTCATAGGGTACGGATGATATAAAAAGCCTTCAAAAAAGACTCATTTGTGTCTTTTATTCACCCGTGCTACCACACTCCAACAGAAATGCTACATTAGCAGCAGGGGGCGACATAGTGTTGGGTTTGCAAAATGAATGTAAGTCACAATATGTCCAAAAGTATACAGACACCTTTTTTAATTAGCAAATTCTGCGACTTTAAGGTGCACCCATTGCTGACACAATTTCGCACAACCTGAATTATCTCTGTAGACAAGCATTGCCAATAGCACTGTGTACATCTTACATAATCTCTATAGAAATGCTTTGCCACTAGACGTCCATAGATGAGCTTAAAGTCAGCTAGAGGGATATATAAATCCCTAGCACAGCTCTATGTAGTGATGAAGCACCATCGAATACCTTGGGATAAGCTGGAGTACTGATTGCAATCCAGAACTGCAGAAATCATCCAACATCAGTACCTGACTTCACCAATGCACTTGCGGTTGAATGCAACAAAATCCTCAAAGCAGGGCTCTAAGCAATTAGTATAAAGCCTTCACAGAAGAGTAGTGGTTGTTACTCCTGCTGTTTTTATGCTGAATGCCTGTCAGTGTACCAGAAGTTCTGGCTGAGGAGCTGTTTAGCTGTCTTACCAGTGTTGGTGCTACTCTGAACTGCAAGTGTAGCATATTGCAGAGCCTCTTCATACTGGTTTTCTTTCAGCAGCAGTTCAGAGAGTTTACTCAACAGCCTAAACTCTGAGTGCACATCCTTAATGCTCCTTGCAAATGGCAGACTCCCATCCTGCACACACAGCAGATTTACTCTACCACTGCCCAGTTAGAGCTTTCAACTCAAAACAAATTGTCAAAGTTCAAACTGTACATGGAATTTTGAATATTGTTTACAGTGAAACATGAGGTGACACATACTCTAAAAAATGGAAGGGCAGCCAGTCGATTTCTGTGTCCTTTGAAGAAAACATCTCCAGCCTCTTCATAAATGCTCATGGCGAAGCGCGGATCATTCATTCTCAAGGCTGTTTTTACTGCTGCCTGTAAAAGGTTGTTCACACAAGCTGTGATTATGGAATCAGATGATAATTATAATAATAACAGATGATAAACATGCTCCCATTATGAAAATACAAAGCAATATCTGGTTCTTGCAATAATTATTATTTGAGAAGGAGACATTCACATACACTTCACTTCACCGCCTGTTCCTCACCTGAAGGTACATGTCTGCCAGCTCGTCCTCATGGATCAGGTAGTAGATGCGGCCCACTTGCAGCCATGTTTCTGACTCCTCCTGTCTTTTCCCTAGGTCTATGGAAATCCTCAAGCTTTGCTTAGTGTAGTCCAGAGACTTCCTAGAGGACCTACAAAAATATCCAAAAGCAGTTGATATACTTAGATCCACATGATTGTTAATTTATTGTTTAATGTGTAGATTGCACCTAATGACTGAGCATAACCTAAAAAACAATCAATTCAGCTCAATTCAATTCAAGCACTTCAATCTGATAACACAAGTGTACAGTATAATGAACAGTTAGGCATATAAATATAAATTGGACAACTTCAGCAGCAGAACAATACACGTCAGAAAATCTGTGTCTTACTTCTCAGTATTGAGTGAGAGGTATAGACTGCTAAGAATCTCTAGGTACTCTCCCTCCAGACGTTTATCCTTCAGCTCTCTGGACAGCCCCACACAGTGCTCATAGTAAATGATACACTGTCCATACAGTAGCAAATCAGCATAAAGACGACTGAGCACCTTCGCCACAACCATTTGGCCTGTAATAGAGATATAAATGTTACAGTTTGTTTAGATCAAATGTGTAGTTTGCCTTTTTTTTCTTATTTTAAGAGGAATTCCACTACACAAAGTATGTTGCCTGATGCCTAAGACACTCTTTTGCAATAGTTTTAAGGTAAAGTTTTGGGCGTAAATGTACTTTTAGAAATCCATTTGTGTCTTCAATGTATGGTGATACACTGTTAGAAATAAAGGTAATGTGCAGGTGCATTTCAAGGTACAAACAAAGTAAATGTACCCTTAAAGGTACAACAATGGTTTTAGGGTCCATTTGTGTACATTTTTTCCAGGTGAAAAGTACATATTTGTACCTTTTCATAACCTAATGTTTTAAACAGAACAATAAAATAAACAGCCTGCAGACAAGACAGGATGTGTGGAGTCAATACAACTTAGAAAATATTTCAGTGGATTTTGGTACAATTATGTTTCCTGACTAAAGGTGACTAAGGGAGGGGATAGAACTCAGAGAACTTGGCCTGGAGTTCTGTTTGGCGCTAGAAGGCCAGACCCCTCCTTTTACGGATGGTGATAGGAAAAGGGGCTAAGAAACAGGGAGGAGATGGCGTGGTAGTGGTGAGGTTTGCGAAAACTTTGTCACAGGGAACAGAAGGTACAGATTGTAATTTATAGTGTGTTAGATTGCAGACATTCCATGGCAGAGAGGTAGAATTCATGCTAAAACTCTAAATGAGTTTGTTTATATCCCCAGTTGATTAAAAAAGGAAAAATGATAAAGAGCATCTGAACAACCCAAGAAATCATCAACCCATATCATCCCAAAATCAAAGCATTTCTTCCACTCACTGTGCAGGTTCTTGGCACTGATGGCAATCAGAAGTCCCATCTCATAGCACATCCTGACCTCTTGACTTCCTCCCCTATCTTTGTAGCTCCTGCCTAGCCACAGCAGAGCCTGAACATGCTCTTCATCAGTGGGACTCTCAGAGAGAAACTGAAAAAGATGCAGGGATCTGAGCAAGAAACTCTCTGCCAGGCACGGAGCTCCTACTGACAAAGCAAGGCAGCCCAGGTTAGTGAGAGCTAGTGCTTCGTTACGCTTGTTCCCATTCTCCTGTGAGATCTTGAGAGCACAATAAAAGTTTTTGGCTGCTTCTGTAACCCTGCACTGTTTGTGGAGGCAAAGAGCCAGTAGGTTATAGACCACACCGCGTTGTGTTGGACTGTCTGTTTCATTCAAAGACTTAAGGAGGGGTTGTAGAGTAGACTGGGCTGTTTCTGGTTCCCCTGTCAGAACCAGGAGCCAGGCCAGAAGCACTGATGCCTCAAAGCTCTCCTCCTCGTTAATGTGGCTCCCTGTCTGCACAGCCTGTTGTGCAAAGGGCACTGCCTTATCTAAGGCTCCATACTGTTGATAGACACTGGCCAAACAGAGGCACAGGTCTCTCTGTGTCTTCAGGTTGTCTCCACGGCTGGCTATGGACAAGGCTTGCTGCAAGTAAACTACCACTTGGGCTGGAAGCAGACTGGTACCATCCCTCCACCGAGGATTCAACCGGACTGAGTTCTTGATGAATAGTTCTATCTTCTGGAAAGCATCTTCCAAGGAATGGTCCTGACCTGAGTCCAAACTGAGAGAGGCTAAAGCAAGATAAGGCAGATACTTCTTGTGGTAGAGCCTGCAGAGTATCCAGTTAAGGTCCACTGGCCCTATAGGCCTGTCTTCCTCTGCAGAGAGAGTGATAGTCAGGAACTGGAGTCTCTCTACAAAAGGTAAGGCCTCTTCAATCTTTCTTTGCTGTAGAAAGAGACAAAGGATGAGATAGCAAGTCCGTGCCTCAAGGTGCTTGTCATTGTCAACGATAGCTTTGCGAAGAATGGGTTTGAGCAATTCAAACTCATCCAGAGAGCAGAAGTTGTGGCAGGGAAGGCACAGTATAAGAGCACTAGCTTTCTCCAATGTATAAGGAAGCTTGTCTGTCATCTTTTGCTTAAGGTAAACAGCAGTGAGATTGGTGTACAAGGCGATCAGCAAAAGTTTGTCATCAAAGCCATCCACAGGGACCTTCAAGGCCTCCTCAAAGTAGACTCGAGCCTGCGAGTACTTGAGCTTTTTGGCACACAGCCTGCCAAGAAGGAAACAGGCTCGCCGGTGGGCCCACAGCATCCTGCCTTTCTTTGCCCCCTCTCGCAAGTTCTCCAGATGCAGGAGCACCTCGTCCTCCAGAAGACCACCAAACACCGTGTCCAGGAAGGAGTAGGAGATGTCATAAAGTGGGTGGAAAGTGTCCTGAAAGTGGTCCAGATTCAGGAGGGTCAATATGGGGTCAACAAACTCAGCCTCTTCAGTTTCCCAGATGCTGTCGTCAATGTAGTTGGGTGGATCTTCTTCATATTCATCCATCTCTCGGAAGGTGTCCTCCAGACTGAAGGAGAAGGCCTCATGCTCCCTCTCCAGGTGACTCTGAGAAGCATAGAAGGAAGGCCGAGGCGAGGAATGGTAGGGTGGGGTTTCACTCTTCTCTGATATAGTGCTTTTCCTTGCATCCACTGGATTTTTGTGTTCTGGGGGATCACAAAAAAAGAATTTTAGTTGAGTTTTTAACACATCACACAATAAAAATGTAGATGGGTATATGTATATTTATATGTACTCTGCTTCCAGAAGAAAAAATATTTCTAGAAAAATATTTTCTACTTAGGAGAAAAAGATTACCTTGCTTGGGTTGGTTTCTGATGTAGGTGAAATCTGAGTCATCCAGTCTATCTGTCAAAAAGTAAAAAACACATTCTTTAAGGCATGTAAACCAAAGCTGCCTCCTCTTTAACAATGTTCGCATATAACCTGAACAAATAGTATCTGTGTTTTATACCTAATCTGTACACAGTGCTGATGTCAGTGGAGAAGAGTTTGTCCAATAGGCCAGTGTGGCACTGTTCATGGCAGGGGTTAAACTGCGAGAGAGCCACTCTCTCCTCTTCACTTAGAAAGACCGATTGTCTGCTGCTGTTAGGGACCAACAAAGGAGGCATTATCAACCACATGACTTCTATTCTGACCTCTTCATCACATCACATAACTGTGCTCCCCTCTACCCCCTACCAATACCCAGTGACATAGAGACAGATTCAGTTAATGTAAACTGAAAAATATAATAATTGCTGACTACTCATATGAGAAGATTTGTATTTTCTGAGGTCAAATGTTTTATAACATGTGATGTCAGAAAAATGGGAGACTGTGAACAAGTTTGAATTGTTATATTTGTTCTTACAGTGGTTTTACATTCTCAGGTCTCACATGGGCCTTGTAGACAAATCCTATGTGTCCACTTGAGAGGTGTCTTCCTATGAACATGTTCAAGGAGCTGATGAACAAGCCATCCACCTCTATCAAATCTCCTTGACTGAAGTGCAGTTCATCTTTAACCATTGGGTAATGGTCCACCACTGCCACACAGATGCCTGTTACTGTAGAGAGAAAAGTCGTTACCAAAGTATTTTCAGTTGTGAATAAACCATCGGTTTACATTTTGGTGCCTAGTTCATAACATTTTAATCTGCACTATGTAAGTTAATACTGAATAACAATGTAATATATCAAGTGATTCCAAACTTTTGAGTGGTACTATGTATATTTGTATGTTTGGGAAGAACCTCACCCATGGGCTGGTCAAATAGACCTTTTTCAGATGAAATCCCTCCAGCGTTGCCGGGGTACTTCCTAAGAAACCACCTTTTAAAACACAATAGACCAGTTGTTAAACTGAAATTACAATAATATTGCAATTGTAATTACTCAATACAGTAGCATTTTAACCCACAAGACCCATATGTTCCTTTTCATAGTGTAAACATTTCAGACCTTCCAAATGAATGGTCTAACAGTGCTTTAGTGCTATCATGTTGTGTCTATGTAAGGAGAGTCAATGTCACTCACTGGTAGAAAGGGTAGGGCAGAGGCTGCATGCTGTGGACAGGCACTAGGCCATGCTGACCGGTGGACAGCAGTGTTCCCTCCCACGTGCCCTCCTGTCCAATATCCTTGACCATAACCAGGTCATTCTTCCTGTAGGTTAATTCTTCTTCCTCTTCTGTACACTCACTGTTAAGCAGAGCTTTGGCAAAGAATGAACCTGCAAACACACAACAACTAAATTAAGTTTCCCTATCTATATATATCTTCCTTGTCCTATTATCTTTCTGTTTGCCCTCAGACTGCTCTGTGGATTTCACCATTTGTCTCCACTATTCTGCATCTGTTCTGTCATTCTGTTCCTTGTTTCCTTATTTTCAAGGAAAGAATGAAAAACAGATTTTTGTTGCATAAGTGTTGTTCCATTTAGGAAAATGCTATAACATGTCGGTTGTTCCCAAACAACTTAAGTAATGTGTGTAACAGAAATCAAATTAAATGTTCTCTGAAATCAGTCTTTAAGTCTTTATTGACCATGTTTAGCAGTAGGCCTGGGGCAATGTTCTGTATGGCCCTGACACTGTTTACAAGTTTACACCTGCTTTTAGCAGATCCCTAAGTGGAGAAAATAAGTTATTTAGAACTAATTCTGCAACTAATGAGCCTTGACAGATAATGGCAAGACTTAGACTGTCGATGGTGTTGCCAGTAATCATTCCAGGAAGAAAGACAGAGCCTTTTTTGTTTACATTTACACACAGCAGAGAGAGAAATGTTTGTCTACCAACTGGACAAGCTAATTCCTCTTCTTAGCATAAGAGTTTGAAAAGTTGTTCCTTTTGTAAACCATATTTATTTCTGAAAACCAGCTAGCCAAAAATGGGAAGTTCAGTGAAGTTTTCTGTTCCTGTTGAAAGCTGAACTTCATTATGGTTGATGGGACTCTTACCCTCTTGCAGCAGGAGCCCCAGATAAAGGGTGGCCAGGTGTTCCTCATCCACAGTCACACAGATCTCCACATCACTGAGCAGCACGGGGTCCAGCCAGAAAGACTGGTCACACAGGAAGTTCTCCAGACACCTTGCCACATATCCTGAGATGCACCATCATGTGGAAGATGGTAAATGTTTTAGAGTAAAACATCATTGTAATACACTGTAAGAGCTCTGTGTCTTACCTAGAGCCAGGTAAGTGGAGAACTTCCAAATTTCCTCCACAGTCTTAAAGGTGATAACGAAACGGTCTTTTTCGGCATGCACTGAAACCAGGCGTGCAGACAGATCCTGGAGAGACAGCGTTGCAAACCAGGGCTTTGAGTAAGCACAAGTAATTATTATTTATTGCATTCAAGGCTGGCTTTACGGGATGAAATTACCATGCAACTAGATGCATATTGTTAGTTGCCCGCAACATAATTTCAAACTTAAAGCAATTCAAAAACACCCAAAGTTGCACACAACACATTCAGTGATCCACAAGGTGTAGTTTACATATCTGAGGCATTTTTTTGTTGCAGTCTATATATTTTTTCCAGCTGTCACTGTATTTTTTAATCTATCTACATATCTGTCTTTTATCAATCTATCGAGGGTTCTTAACTGTGTATTTGTGTTTTGTATGGCATGGATTATCCATTGGCATTACTAACTGTACGTGGTTCTGCAATAGTTGTAAACTGGAATGGCCAGTGACCTATTCGATGTAGCCTAAAAAGGAAAGCAAGCTTAAAAGGTACATGAGAAACAATTATGCTTCTATTGTTGTTTGTAATATTATCATTATTTTTTGTCCTTCGGTGACAAATACTTAAATGCAAATTTGCAAAGACAAGAAGTCAGTGGTCAACGACCCCCAGCCAATTCATACTGATGTCATGATGTTTTAATACTATTAAGCACTATGGCTAAAATGCTGATCTTGGAATTTTTCTGTACTTTCTGGCTAAAAAAGAATAAACGGTAGCACAAGCAGCCATTTAAACAGCTGTCACCATTAGCTGGCCACTTAATGCAGCTAGTTACCGAAACGTTAGTTTTGAGAAACTCACGTTTGTTGTCATGGCTCAGGAAACGGACAAAATGAAAAACTACCAACCTTGAGTCAATCAAGCGGGCCCGCCCATAAATGGTCTTCTGTTTTATTTTCTTGCCCATTTATACAATGAAATCAGTCGTTTTAATGTATGTCATTCAACGTCATGTGGTCATGTGATGCATTATTGGCTTCTTGATTGGCTGTTTCTTGGAATCTGAACAAATCTTTCACAAAGTTGAGCTGCCTGCAACTGCTGAGGCTGAATTTCAAGAGACTTGCAGGTCACACATTATGCAACTCCAGTGCAATTTAGTTTCATGTAGGTTTCAAGCAATTAAAGTTGCATGGAATTTTAACCGTGTAAAGCCAGTCTGACAGTGTGAACAGATTTAACATCTTACCTTAAATAGCTGAATAACATCTTGGCTGTTGCTCTCGACGACCCTCAGTCTGGTGCGCAGCGCCTCCTGCAGCTGACTGTCAGGCTCTGCACTGGACCGCCTCCTCCCACTGAACAGCAGTATCACATCTGGACCACACAGATGTAAACGTAGCTAACAGTTAGAAGTCCTGGACAGGCAAGGCCCAATTTTTTATTATCACAGATAACTTATGCAGGTAGGGCATTACGCAGAGCCATAAATGGAGATATAATATCTATTTTGAGTATCTATGTGGTTTTGGACTTAATGATTTAATGTCTTGCATTCACAGTACATTTCCCTTTGTGAGCACAAAATCTCTTTTACACTGAGCTGCCTATGAGAGGATATTACTAGATTGTGTGGAGACCTTATGGCGGGCTAAAAAGGCATTAGCTCTGAGAGTTTGCTGAATCAGACTGGCCATTACTGGCCATTACTGGCCATTACAGAGACGTTCCCACTCAGGTCTATACGACAGAAGACTTGATGCACATACCTGAAGAGAAGCGCTCTCCCACAGCTAAGGAGACAGTGCTGGCCCTATTAAAGGCTTCCTTCCTTTTCCAGTAACTCTCGCCAGTGATGCCCTCTCCCTCCACCTCAGCCTCTGTCTCCACTTCCTCCTCTCCTGCTCAAAACAGAGGAAACCTGTCTCAGTACAACATGTCCGGAAACAGCCACACACGTTTTCTGGACTATCTTCAGTGAATGTGACCACACTATTGACAGCTACCCATCAGTTTTATGGTACTCAATAGTGTACAAACATTGAAAGACTGACCATTATGAAAGTGATGAAAGCTGAAAGTGTTGGGAGAAGGTAAATAGATGACTTCTCAATAGTGAAATCCTTCATTATTGAGTGTAACAATAAATAAATTGGTTCTAAAGTCAGCTCATGTGTGGGGACAGTAATCATTTGCGTGTTTATAGTGTAGGCTAATCAGAACAGTAGTTGCTCTAAACTTCCTACTGAGCAAAAACAGGAAGTTATGGCCATATCATAGTGGCTCTATAAATATCTGTCAGGTGGACTAAATAATAGCGTCTTTTCTCTTCAGGATGGATATGACCTTCCCAGTTTTGTGCATTGTACAAAGAGGATGTTCAAACATACAGTCTTTAAAGGGAATATTTAAGTACAAAATTATACCACGATGTTACGTTGCCTAGTCTGTTAATAAATTAGTTCAACATAGGTACTTTCCTACATGTTTTAGAGAAAATGTAATCCATTTCAAATATGACACTCTTACCAGTGGCCATGACATCATTTCCTGGAAATAGCTCATTGGCTCCTGTTAATGTGTATGGGGGCTCGTTCCATAAGGCATCGAGCTCAGCAGTCGATATGTCTATTGAAAGGGGAGGGGAGGCATTAGTTAGGCGTTAAAGCAGATTAACTGTGTGAAAACTGAAGAAGCTTTGACACCCTGTTTTGAACAGAAAGGCATTGAGGGAAAGGGTGATTTCATCATGCATCTGGACAATAACCATGATTGCATCACAGCCCTCTCAAGGGATGGATACACATTAGACACAATACATTGACAGAGGATGCATGCACTCTGTGGCAAAACCCATTTAGCTCCATTAGCTTCCATCATATCAGTGCAATCTGAACCTGGACTGCAATCGTTTTATATCCTTCAATCACCCAATAATTTGGGATTAGCTCCACTGATATGATCTCTGCAGGCAGCCAAGGCTTCAGTCACAAACCAATCAAACTGACTATGATTAATGTGTCAGTTAAAAGAACCCCAAAAACAATGTAACGTTCCATTTATCACAGAGACAACACTGGACTATTATGCTAGAGACTGCACAGCACAAAATTAGTCACAATCACAGGGGAGATGAACAATACAAACAGCAGAACACAAACAGAAGCCTTAGCAAAGGTCACATTGTAATGTGCGTTACCTTCATGGGTAGGACTATTACCCATGTTTCACTGAAATACACTGAAGAGTGCTTCTGTAAGTTACTCTTCTTTCTCATGGCAAAAATCTATGAGAACCAGGACGGGACCAACCTGAAAGCAAGAAGCAGTTTCTCAGACACTGAACTGGACAGCAGCAGCATGCCATGTTGTGGACGACAAACTCGCTTACTCCTCCGAATCAACGGCCCCAGCTCCAAGAGGCATCTACAGGATATTAGCCACTGGACTTACTCTCTCTTTCTCTTTCTCTCTCTCTCTCTCTGTGCCTTCCTGTCTCTCTTCCTTTCTTGTGCGCACTCCCTCTTATTCCTTTGTCCCATGCATACATATCTTCAGCGTTAATGCCATGCATTCACTTGCCCTCCACATCTGTGTATCCCCCTCTTGCGCTCTAGTCGGTCCGTGAGTGTAATGGACAAAGAGCATTTTACTGTTGGCATGCTGGCGTGGGTTGGTCAGTGTCTGTGCATGCCGTTGGTTGTGGGGTGGGGTGGGGGGCTTCCATTAAGCGAGTGTTGTGGTCCTAGCTCTCACACTAACACAACAGAACAAAAGGCTACAACCAAACAAATGACTGCATTATAAGCATACCTATCCTTGCACATTTAATGAGCAAGCCAAGTTTCTCCTGTTTTTCTCATTGATTTGTTCTGTCTGTGCGGGCAGTATTTAAGTCGACAGCGCCAGGCTGACCACGCCAGCCTGTCTGGCCATGCGGGAGGGCTCAGCACTCCTGTTGCCAGCAGATCCTCTTTATTTTCACTCAGTTTCCTCTGTTAACATCCTGCATAAGGGAAAACGCAGGAATCACCCAGCTCTCCAGCATCATCTAGAGGCTTCAGCTTGTGGTGGTGCACAAGATTTTTCTATGCATGTGTGTTTATGTTTATGTTTTTATACAAAGTTTGTAAGAGGATCCTTATAATGCTGTTTTGCAAAAGTGTGCAAATAAGACTACAGAACACATGTATGAATCCACATAAAGTACATGAGGAATCTCACCTACATGCTTTAAAAAATTTACTCTTAGGTGCAATACCATTTTGTTTCCCTAAAGACAGTTACAATGGATAGATCTAAGCGTTGGCTCTATTATCGGGTGAGCCCAAGTTCAATCCCCAATGATGCCACTGCCATCCGTTACTGGAAGTGCAATGGCATTTTTCCACTGGTAAATGTGGTATGCTGCAGTATGGTTACAAATCCACAATAACGCATTTTGTCATCATTTCCACTCATGTGGCCATACTGTACTTGACTACCCAAGCAGAATTTGGTCACCCTTCTCACTGGGGTATGTCAAAACATGGTATGTTGCTAGTAATTGTGCAAACCATTCATTGATCAAATGCAGTCATCACAGAATCATCACACAGTGTTACTGTAGTCAGAAAAAGTCAAGTATCTAGCCAGCTGTCTGCGACTTCATCCAAAACCAAATGCAAAGTAAAGGGTAAGTCAGAATTGAAGCTTCTCCCTTGTTGCTAATGTTGTTTATGTTTACTGGTAATTCTAGAAATAATGTGACCACACAAACTAAAGAGAACTCTACCTACCGTTATGCGATAAGAAACGGACACAGATACTTGACCAGGGTACGGATAGTCCTAGGTTAGCATTTGTAACTGTACCATGCTGTACAGTACTGGCCAGTGACAGCATAACTGGTCTTGCTCTCTCTAGGTGGGTAGGGTGGCCTTTCTCTTGCCTCATCACTTAACACAATGTTAATGTTAAACACTGTTGGCTGATATAACAGAATTGGAAGTTAACATTCTCCTCCAAGTGCGTTGAACTGTCGATTGGCATTGCATTAGCAGTAATTTAAAAAGATGCAGTGGGTGGCTTCACATGACTTAGAAGAAGCATGTGCTAGCCTTCACCCTCCCAGCTGGTTAGCATGGTGTGATGAGGTAGACCTAACCAGCTGGTGGGAATTGGACATGTAGGGAATTTGGAGGTAAAAAGTGGACAAAAACCCTACAAAAAAGAAGTATGAGATGTGCAAGTGTGGCCTTTTTAACCAGTAAATAACATCCACATAGTGAAAAGGTTCTATATCAATTATTTTTTCCTAGAACCTGACATTCAAGCCAAGAACCATGTAGGGACCCTTATTTTTAAGATTGTAACCACAAATCTCCAGCTATTCCTATTAACACTTTTATTTCTTCTTAACATTCTTTCTTAACTGAACTGAATCTCTCTGTCACTTGTTCTCTCTTGTGTCTTTTTGCTGACTATGGCTAAACAAATTAACTTGAGTAGAGGATAATGCTCCCCACTTGGTAGTGTTTTGTGTGTGAACAGAATCTGTAAGGTCCTAATTGAATTTGTGGCGGTCTTGTGAGTCTGGCCAGCTGTAAACAGCCGGCAGGCATGCCTCAGCATATCTCTAGAAAGGCATATCACACTTGTCCCTCTGGTCAGTCAAATGGTACTTTGATGATCTCAACCTAATAATAGTCTTTGAATGGCTGTGAATATGCAACTGACAAAGTTGTTCATTATACATTCATAAAGTTATTGAAATTCATAGACAGCAGCAAGCTTGTGAATGGAAGTATGGCTGTGTTAGAATTAATAGGCCACACTGTATAATACAGTACATTAGTTCTGTTGTCAAATTGGTGTCATTATGAATATGAAGTTATTTGACTATTACTTTGTTCTATCCACCTATTAAAGCCAGCACAATCAGATATGCTAACAGCTTTTTCCCCAGGGCTGTAGCTTTATCGACAGTGGTCACCTTGCACTTTAAATTTAAATTGAACCAAACAAACCTCCCTTATTGTATTAATGTATAACTTCTTTGTAACATAATACTTATTTGCACAGCTGTATAATTCTGTAATATTCTGTATATAATAGTTACTATATTATACATCTGCTCAGATCTGCATATGTATAGATATTCATATCTATATGTACAGATATTCACAAATCTCTTTGGCTCCTTTCACAGTGGCTCTTTATTATTCTTTCTTATCCTTTATTCTATTTATTCTAATTTTATTTCACTTGCTTCTTAGTTAAATATTTGTCAGTTGTCTGTGTTCTAGTCTGGTCTGTCCAGTATGTTACATGTCTTACATGTGTGCACTCACCAAGACAAATTTCCTGTATGTGTAGCATGCTTGGTGAAATAAAGTGATTCTGATTCTGAAAGGTATCTCCATAAACCCACCACTGATAAGAACCTTTCGTTTGAGTAGAGCAGTGTGCCGCTGTCAATGACAGAGAGGGAAGCCTGTAACCTGAGTACGAGGAATGGGCACTAAGTTTAGAAAATCTCTGTCCTGGGTCAAAGTGGTCTCCCCACTCGACAAGCTAGCAAGCAAGTACTGAGAGGCTAACAAGTCAAACTTAATAACAGCTGAGTAGAAAAACATGATCTTTATTAAACAGAGAAAGAGGCAGGTATGAGAGTATGTAAATGGGAGCTAGACAGGACAAACAAGAAAAAAACAAAGTGAAAGAGAAGACTGAAAGTACTGCTAACTGAGAGAAGCACACTATACTACTCACAGAGTTTCCTTTCTGCCATAAAGTTAAAAAAAAGTTCAAACACAAGTAAAGAATCCTCACTCCAAAGGACCTTAATGACTACCTTGCTGTTCAATAACCCCCTAGTAATCTATTCAATAAGCTCACAGCTGTCAAAAACTGTACCTCTGTCCTGCTGGCTCCCGCCTGTGAGTTCGTCCCTCATGGGAATGCCTGTAGGTTCAGTGAGGCACTGAGGAGTTCCTCTAAAGTACTCAAAAAGACACTCATGCTCCTTCGATAAGCCACGGTAGGACAGTGTGTGTGTGTGTGTGTGTGTGTGTGTGTGTGTGTGCGTGTCCCTGTCGTATGCATGTTAAAAAGAAGGCAGGCTCTACACTGAGGAAGTGTACAAACTCCACCTCTAAATCTCACCCTCTCTCTCTCCCTCTTTCTCTCTTTTGCTCTCTTCCTTAGCTATACGTGTTATCTCACTAAATCTTATCTGTTCTCTCTCAGACTTTCTATCTCTCTCTCTCTGTCACCCACCCGGCTGTACTGAGGTCAAGTCAAAAGGTCTTGTTTGAGTTCTCAAGATAGTAGGTAACGGTTACTGTGGAGGAAAACAGACCAAATCTCTCATAACATTTATAACATTTTCAAACAAACAATAATTCTATGCTCACACACAAAGTTAGACCTTCCACATTCCTTCACTACAGCCCTTCCTATTCAAATTCAATCCCATGCCTCTATAAATATACAGTATGGGAAGAAACAGCAAACATTTTCTGTGACAAATAGCAAGCAATCCGTCTGGTTCTACTTGTTCGTCATACATAATAAGACACGAGCACCTTCAACATTACAGTCAGATAAGTCTTACTTCTTACTCACATGCTGAAGATTGCTTCTCCGCCCAGACAGACACCTTGTAATGTCAGCATTCCATTCATGCTTCTGCTGAAGTCCATTAGATTTTTCTTTTAGTGATGTGTGAAAGGATCTTTCTGTGACATTCAGAGCCTCTTTCCCATTGCACATCACAACTATAAGATTCCTTATGCTGTTCCTTGGACTACTCCCTTTTAACAACTGACCTCTGCCTTGCAAATTCTTGTACTTTATGGCTCTATCTTTCTATCTACAGAGCAGATAATAGGCTGTGCTCTGGCACTGCTAAGGCCATTCCTTGCATTTCCCTGCTGGTTAAATATAAACCCTGGAACAGACCACGTATTCTGAGGCTTCTTGGTAAGCCATTAGAAAAGTCACCCTTAGCAGAAATATGGAGTAAAGCATGTGACTAGCCGCTTGGCTGAAGAGAGCATGCAGTATCTGACCCTGCTGTGGACTGAATATTACAACTGTGTGGCTACTTCCACACACAGAGGGCTCAGATGAGTTGGGAAAAGGATTATACAGCTCACCACTTATAAAGACACGATCTATCCATACCAAGGCCACCCGCAAGCCTCGTGCTCAAAGAATGGGCCCTGCGAATAGAGAACACCTTTAATAACACTTCCTTCTCGTATAGCTAGAAGCTTCCCTGCACTGACCTATTTTTTACCTACTAGCTATGTCTTTGACTGCCTTTGACTGCTGTTTCGTTTAAGCTATGAGATGCTCCCATAGGAGTGGCATGTTGTAGAGCTGAGAAGTATGACAGTCTGGTTTTACTATAAAGGAAGTGCAATAAGCTGAGGAGTTTACCTCAGGGCAAGAGACATGAAGGGAGCTCAGGGAGGTACTGGGAGAGAACATTCCGGTGCCCCTGTGCACTAATGCTCTCAGGAAGAACGGCTTCCTGTTGTTTTGGGCTCCGTAATATTTCAGCACAATAGCAAACCCACTGCCCTGCACAGCCACTCAGCCCATGTCATCCTTCAAAAACATACAGAATATGCTGAATACTGACAGCTTCAGATAAACAACGTAGTCACAGTAAGGCAGGTTTTAATGTGATCAAAGAGCAGTAGGGTGGATTATCAAAGGTGAAATTGGCCTTCATAAACCATCTGATACGCAATGCAATAAGTGTGTCAGTGCGTCACTGTCATCCATTGTCTATTTATAGTATATCATCCATAATTATGATCATTAAGCTCTTGTCAATAAATTGTAAACACTAACCATTACAACCAGTGTGTTGGGTTATATAGTTGCTATGCTACAACTAATTATGTTTTTTTTGTTGTTCAAAACTATTGAACGTATTGTAAGTATTGAAACAGGTAGTTAGAATCCCATAATGGTGCTAACAGAAACTAGAATTATCATAGACACATGGGGGTTTTCCTCAGTTTTTGACAAAGCTTTTTTACTTACGGCCTAAACTGAAGGACAAGCTGTAATAGTAACAGTTTGCCACTGGTGCATACACAGGGTAAGAGAGTGTAGCTGTGGACAGAACAATGCAGAGCTCTACAACATCTGTGTCAGGCACTAACCTTATGGCCCTGTCAAAATATCAGACTCTACAGTAGATGGGTGATGCATCGTCAGGCAGAGTGTGAATGAGAGAGAGAGTTAGTAGGGAGGGCTTCTCATATCCCTCCATTGTCCTGTTTCCTCCCTTCCAGAGGCCCTTTGTTTTCCTCAGGACTGCGGACACATTACAGAACAGAAGAGTCACAGGGGCCTTAGTATAACTTACAGAAAGACAAGAGCCAGCAGAATAAGGGCTTCCGGTTTAAAGCAATCCCTGCAGTCTGACTGTCTCCACAGGGAGGCACAGAAGGAGAAAAGAGGTGCTAAGGCATAAATATTGGATAGTCTGATAATGCTTGGAAAAATAACAAACCAAAAAAAAAGAAAACACTGAATATGATTAATATCATAAACAGTCACCATTCAGGTTTAAGTGCACGCCACTGATACAACTTTGTAAGACTTTTTCTGACCCTAGATTATATGTTTCTCCACAAGCCGTTTCTGCATTGGTTGACCTTGGTCTGTAATCAAGTTTGAGAAGATTATGTTCCCCTTTATGAAAAGAGAAAACAAAACTGGGAGGATTAGAGCTAGGTGAGCTCATGCAGAAAACGTGGACCTATACGTGCTGTACTTAAATGAAAAGTAATGAAACAGCGACCTCTGGTGTGATTTGAAAGTAAGTGAAATATGAACTAGCTGCTGGATTGAATGCATTCGAAAGATAAATCAATTTATTTCATGATAAATGGAATATGTTCAATGAGCAAGTCTACCATTGAAAAGACTGAGGCTTCTTTATCAACATTAAACTAGAATGTTCATTCACTGTACACTTTATTCGCCACACCTACCTTGTATCTATACTCCATTGCCCATTTATCATCCTAGAAAAACTTGCATAGACCAGCATGGCTGTCACCAGCAAAACCAGCATATATTGTCTTTGGATGCCGGTATTCCCATGACCATACTGGGTGACCAGCTAAACCAGCACCAGACTAGTACTAGACCTAAACCAGCAGAGACCAGCTTAGACCATCTTGGAATGCTTGCTGGTCTGTGTTGTTTTTTTCAGCAAGGCAACTGCAGCAATTATTAAAGACCCAGAGACAACTATCAGGCATTATGTTAACACACATGACTCTAACGTTGCATATCTGGCAGACAGCACAGACCAGTATGAATTACATTCTGGTTTAAACTTGTTTGTGCAGGTCTGGTGCTGGTTTAGCTGGTCGCTCATGGTCACGCTGGTTGACCACCATACCAGCATCAAAAACATGACAACTGCTGTTTTTTCTGGTCTATGCTGTTTTTTCTAACGAGGATGTCAAGGTTGTTAGCAGTTCTCGTTCTGGATATGCAGTTAGCAGTGGTGCCTTTTTTATATTAGTTTTACCATTTATGTAATTAAATATCAAAATAATCCTCGAAGACTGTAAGCTCCAAATTTCAGTGTTGTCCGTTTCATTAACTTCTCTCCCTGCTTCATCATACCTGTTTTTCTTAAGGACAGTCCACAGATCTATTTTTATCGTTCCCAACGGCTGCAGGGTCGCCAGGTCCAGTAGAAATGTTTTCAAACGACTTTCAAACTATTTAGAAAGTAGCTCAATTTGGCGAGAAACGCGCGAGCCTAGCAGCCCTTACGGTAGGTGCGCGGGCTTCACCAAACAGCGTGACCAATGAAAAATGAAAGCGCGCGATTCAACCGAACTGCCTCTACTGGTGCGCGCGTGCTCTGCTGATTATAACATGACATGAAGGGGTTTACTGTGACAAGACAGTATACAAATACAATAAGATATGATACACACTGACAAACGATGGTTCTTCAAGGGTTCTTTAGTGAAGATTGCATGATTAAGGGGTTCTTTGCATCATAAAAGGGTTCTTCAGATAGATGGAGAATGTGCTGTAGATAGTTCTATATGGAACCTTTCTAAAAAAGAGCTCTATATAGCACCAAAAAGGGTTCTTCTATTGTAACAAGTCTGACATCGAAACAATAAAAGAACCCTTTTTGGTGCTATATAGAACCCTTTTAAAAAAGGTAAATATATTTTTATATAATTTATGTGGTACTTTCTGTTGGGAGATTGCTGTCCCTGACAATAACCCCTAAATTTTAACCTAACTTTTTTTTCATGTATTTGTTATTTTTTTTTAAATCTTTGTGATTTCCTTTAAAGAGAAATGGACAGATCTCTACATACACCATCAGTCATACGTTCGGACACAGCTGATTGTATGTATTTAAATTTTCTAGTGTATTCTTAGTCTAAAGTCTTGTTCTTAAATGTTTCAGAGTTATTATTAATAGTTAAATATATTAGAGAATATTAATATTTAAATAGTTCAATGCTACAGCCGTCCGTAGACAGGAGGCCAACAAAGCACAGTTGTCCTCGCTCTTTCTAGGTGGGTAGGATGGCTCCCCATTTCCCCTCATCACTCAGCACAATGCTAGCCAGCGCTGGCGTCTGTTAGCTGATGTAATGGAGCTGGCAGTTAGCGTTCTCCTCCGAGTGCGTTCAGCTGTCCAATGACGTTGTCATAGCGACAGTTTGAAAAGATGCATTGGCGCTTCACGGGTCTCGGAGGAAACTTGTTAGCCTTCGTCCTCCTATCGCTGGTGGTATCACGTGAGTGGGAAAGACCTAGCTAATGGGTGGAACTGAACATGACCAAATTAGAAAATTTGAAAAAATTTTCAAAAAATAAAATTCAATGAAAGCCTATATACGCATTTGTAGCCAAAACAAACAAGCAAAAACACTGGTTTTTAAACAATAAGTTTTAATTCAGGACTTCATTCCATAAGTTTAAATAATTTAAAATAATTTAAATAAAATAAACAGAAGTAAAGTATAGGGTCACTCAAAGCAAAATGACTTTAGTCTTAAGTCCAGCTAAAAGTCTGAAATGTGTTTTTAACTTTGATCCATGCCACATTTATATTTGTCTGTACAGTCTGCTCTTTTGGTTGTCATAACTGACTGAGAAATAAAAGAGTTACTAAACATATTAAGTCTTGGCTTGACATGTCTTGACATGTCATTAATGAATCAGACAAAACACTACACGCTAATCTTTCCATACGTTTCCTATAAACTGTTGTAAAACCATCCTCCAAAGTTTGACCTATTTCGGAACAAATTAGTTTCAGTTCACATAATCAGGTCCTTAATTTCACTGAAAGACAATTATATCATGTTGTTGAAAAGTATTGGATCATACTCTCGATTACAGTAGTGTAAGACAAAAATAAAATCAGATTGTTGGCCCCAAAGGTCTTAACCTGATAAGAAAATGAACATGTTGCTGTACATTACTCCAAATAATAAATGTGACTATTCCATGATAATGTTGTATCTATACCTGCTTAATTTCCTCAGGTTATGTGTTATGAATATTTTTGTTGTAAGTTATATATAATTTAAAAATACATGTGTTTCTTACTTTGAGTGCAAGGGTCACTCTATATTACTCTATTGTCTGGGCTGTTGTATGTTGTAGTGGTAGAGGTATTCCTTTTAATAACTAACTAATTCGCCAAAATAAGTAAGTAAATCAGTCAATCAATAAATAAACAAATAATTAAATAAAGACATGACAGGGAGCCACCTTTGCAGTGGTTGATTGATTGATTGATTGATTGATTGATTGATTGATTGATTGATTGATTGATTGATAAATAAATAACCAATCAACCAAATCTCTTCAGCTGGGATTTTAGGCTGAATGTGTTTATTCCGGACGGGGCAGCAGGGGGCGCTGCACGCCTGGTTCTATAGGTAAGCCCGCTGTAGTGAGTGAGGCAGTGAAAAACCCAGCCCTCTGTACTCGTCTGCTTTCCTTCTGCCGTTGACCCGAGGAAACTCGCTGCTCGGCGCTCTCTCGGTTGCCACTTCGCTGCGTGACGTCACTTCTCCGGTCGCCGCTCTGTCAGTGCCTCGGCCACTGTAGGCACCAGCTGGGGTCTCTCAGCAGTCTCTCACCTGGGGGAGGCACATCCACAAAAGCACGGAATGTGACTAGGCAACACTGCACCTTAAACGCGGCCCTTTATTGAGCGTGCTTTCAGCTGACACTGTCACACGAGGCGCATCGCTGGTAATCGCCTCAGTGAGCGGGAACACCCCGCTGTCTCCACACTGAGTCCACGGCTTCTGGCAGTGCCAGCTTTCGGAGACAATGCTGAGGGGATTTTTATTTTTGTTGTTACTGATTTGAGTGATTCATATCACTTGAGGTGCTTTTCCAAGTTCCATCCACACGGACAATTCTGCTGAAACAACGCTGGCTCCAGGTTCTCTCGGATGTAGGCTAATTCTCTCAGCATCATGAGCGCGAGCGGTGAGTAAACGCTTTCCTTTCACCTGAGGTGAAGCTGTTAACTTTAATGAGGCGAATACGACAGAAGCAGACTGCAAGCTGAGGTAAAATAAGCGCTGAAAAGTGTCCTTTCAACTCGTCTCGCCTATAGAAAGAAGAGGCTCGTGTTCTGAGTCTTTCACTGTTTTTGACCTTCCTTTTCGATACGAAGAAGACTGCTCACTCTCACTCAGCCTGCCTGTACTTTTTAGCTGTGGCTTCACATTTCTTTGCCATTTTAGTTTTGGGCAACAAAATAACTTCTCAGCACGTCTTTATGAGTATAACTGGCAACTGTATGCACACTGGGATTTTTATAAATTTCACCTTTGGTCAGAGCTTTGCCTAAACACAGTGTATTTTTTATTAAACTCTATGTGGATCATGGCGTATCAAATGTAATTAATGTAATGTAATGTGAATGTAATGTAATACTGTAGGAGTTGGTGAGGCTGACATAAGTCATTGCTTTACTGTGATAAAGGGCTGGGCAATATGGCATTATTTATCGTTTATCGTGATAAATTACGCCACAGTATGTCACAAAATGCTTATCTGAGCGTAACGTGGCTATCATCATTACTTAAAAAACCTTCCTGATTTCAAGTTTGATTTAAGCTGACATTATTAGTCTTGACTAACTGGATTAAGTGCAGCTTAGTGTATAAAATGTTGACTACAAATTACTGAATTTATCAAACAGTGAACGTTTTTGATAGTATTTTTTAAAATTCTGGCACTACTTTGTTCCAAAACAAGTATTATGACTTATCGTGTATCGTATCGTGTAGTTTTTAAATTATCATGATTTTACATTCACGCCATATCGCCCAGGTCTAGTATGATATCTGTATGAATTCTCAAGGTTAGTTGCTGCTTAATCACCTTGTTCAGCTTGATTTTAGTGCTGTCATGTTATATGCACTGACTTCTGCATTAGCAATAATGATTACACACTTACACTTGTAGGTACATATTCAGAAGAACAGAGAGAGAGAGAGAGCACGCACAATCAAGAAATCATTAGTGACCTACTCTCCAAAGATTGGTTCATGTGCTTCAGTCAGCTGATGTTGTCACTTGCCCAACGGCAAGGGCACTTTCGCTTTATCTGATAATCAGTATTTTGTTTGGAAATTCTTTGTGCACCGCCTCAAAAGGCACATTTTCTTGTTGGAAAGGCTGCGACAGAATCAATAAGGAAATGACCTCACTTGTGTAATTTTACTGAATGATGCTATTCATTCCCCTGTTTTCTCCTTGCTCCCTTGGCTGCTTTCACATCAAATGTCTAACATTCCTATGGTAAGCCGCTGAATTCCATTCTCAGCTGATGAGGGCATGGCACGGACCTGCCCACGTGTGCGTGGCTGTCACATTCACACTAACGCGTGCCACTCTTTGAATAAAGTGCACCAGATTTGAGGAAATCTGCCATATTCCCTCTCTCAAAGGCATTTGCCTCTCAGCTGGAGCTGTGGCTGTCACCGGTCTGCAGCTGTATGGAGAGCCCAGTGTTCTCAGCTTCAGACAGATGGCAAAAGGTACATGTGTCTGTGTTCTGGTTTGCAGCAAAAAAACACTAGCACGAAATATTCCAACAAATGAACAGCTCTACCTGGACCAGGGGAAGCTTGGATTGCTTTCTTCACCACTTTGCAGAACATATTGCATGGCTAATGGAATAAAAAAACAACATGAGGGCTTCACAGGGAGCCAATCAAGCCAAAGAGGGACCTGAAAATACAAATGATACATTTAAAAATGATCACTCTATTACGCTGTAATATGACGTTTTCCTGGAAGATTCTATCTTCTATTGTTTTTATGATATCTTTTCTTAAGGAAGTAGTGCTTCTATGTCGCAGCCACTCTGAATCAGCCCCCCCTCCTCCACCCACAGCAGCAGGCAGTCTTTACCCAATTATGCGGTTGACATGAGGTCTCAAACTTACCTGCCGCTCAGCCATGTAGCTGCATGGCATTTCAGTGGAGCTGCTGTCTGCTCTGTTGCAATACTTTACACTACATTGGGCATGATAGCCTGGAGGCAACAGAAACACAGTGCAATTACACTGAGGTCATTTTGTCTTTCTTCATTTACTGCTCTCTCCATTTCTTATGGTCAATGCCAAATCAGCTGCTTCCTATTTTCTGCACCACTGCAAGAACAGCTGAGCAGAGGATTTTCTCTTTTCTGCCTCTTTCTTTCTTTATGTCTGCCATTGACAGATAGAGTTGTTTACACAAGGGGAAAAGTGGTAGAGGTGTTTTGTGGCGATAACATGATAACATAGCTGCACGTTAAATGTTGACTAGAAATTGAAATTTCTTAGGTAGACTGTGATGTAGCAGCATATATTATCAAATCTTAGGAATGCATGTTGGTTTATTTACACCAGTGAATGTTCACAAATGCAATTGGTGAAATTTTGAGTTCCAAACTAGTTTGAATGAAATCACACAAATTTCATCATGTTTCTCCACTGTGGCCTAAAAAAGCTTCTTCCCTCTGTTGTGCAGTAACTTCTCATACTCAGTAACTTCTCAGACAGTTTAAGCTGTGTCAGCACTCACGACTCAGCTCATGCACAGTCCACTGTGCTCCCTTGTACCTGAGCTTTCCAGATCTGTCTCAGTCCAATAGAGAACAGCTGTATACAGCCCTTAGTGATTGACATGTGATTGCATTTTTGGCCCTGTGCATCCATGACACTGTGATGTTTATGGAGGGAACAGGGAACGAGGCCATACTTGATGCAGCCAAGAAATGTAAGCCTGAAACATTGTTATGTTAGAAAATGAACACTACTAATTTGTCATGGCATGTTTGGCAAGTGTTAAATCCGAGCTAGTGACAGACAGTACTCACTATAGGCTTTTCAGTCGGACAGCCATAGGAGTACTGACAGGTTAAAAAAAGAACGTCACTTTGATGCTTAGCATGTTCTTCCTCTGGGACTTGGTGTTCTGATGGATAAATCCTCTACGTATTAGTACTTTTCTTTGACTTCTAGTTGGACTTCATGGTTATTCTAATTGAAATGGCAGTTTTGACCTTCACAATTAATGAGGCCTGCAATTAATAAATTTCATTTAGTATAATGCCCACTCCATCACAGTCCATCATTTCTGCTTAATATCATCTCTACTAATGAAATGAGACCACACGATTGCACATATTCCCATTGGATGTTCTAGTACAGCCTGATGTAGTTTACTGTAGCTGTATATATAAAAAGGGCAATATTACCCTGGAGTTTTCATGCAGTAAATTTAGTCCTATCTGATAAGGCCCAAAACTGCCTTTTGCCATTGAGTCAGTGTGAGGAGACACAGCCTCACTGTGGCACTGGGAACATCTGGAGAGCAGTGCAGACCAGCTCTAGCACCCATTCATCTTCCCTGCAGCCCAACATTGTGATTTAGCAGTGCTATGAACAAAAGAGAGAGGGAGAAGCACGCTGGCACACTAACACCTGCCACCATGCCGTCTTCTGCAGATCCATTGTAAAGATATAGTGCCTACTCTACAGAGGAGCTGCTCCAAGGCACACATTATGAAATTATATCCACGTCCCCCCCGAAATCCCCCTCTCTGGTATATACAGGACATGGATGGAGCTATTTCTTTTGGCAAGATTGGGTGGGCCGTGACAGTGCCACCTGAAGAACGCTTATTGTTGTTGTTACTGGGGTTAGTTTTTTCCCTCTTTTACTATGATTATAGCACCACATGGGAAATTGTGAATTTAAAGTAGCAGATGTTTAGTTTCAGTTTAATACTTGTAAAAAAAAACTGCTCCATGAGAGCACTTCTGCCTGTTAGCATTGCACAGCGTTTTCTACTTATAAAAATGCCAGACTGCATTTTATGGCTTTTTAATGGGCAGCGTTATTTATTTCTTTTATTGTTTCCCTCTGCTTTTTATATAAGAATGACCATGTCTCTTGTTAGGGCAGATAAAAACTTAAATTGGTCAGTTAGGTATATCATAAGAGCACTGAGTCTTCCAGCTCATTGGAAAATGTTTGAATCAGTTTTTCTGATACTAAAATTTGTACTGAAGCTTAACAATGCTTCTGCTTTCTTGGGGAATATGCAGTTCTTCCTTTAAGATCCCATGGGCATAGAACACAACTCTTATAAAGAGAGGCTAATTTGTGCTTACAGTATATAGGTGGAGCAGAACTAGAGCACTTGTCTAATCCTAGTTTCATAATACACACTCCATATGGCACCCACAGGATCACGGCTCAGAAGGGTCTTTATGACAGTAGTATTCAAAGAGCCAGTCTTATTCATAGGCTGTGAACAAAGAGTCTCCTATGGTGAAGAGCTTGTGCTAAGAGCTTGATGTAGTCATGTACATCCTCAACCATGCCTGATTGTGACTGGAGAATAAAGATCATCTGTCAATAGCTTTGCAGTCAATCATCCCATCAAACACGTGTCTCAAACCTCATCAGCTGAAATACCAAACCATTAATAAACCTGACTGTGGGCTGAAGGCTGGCCAGAGTCCTTGAGGGCTAACAGGTCACATCTCATTTGATCTGACCTTGAGATGCGCTGGTTTGAGCGATTGTTGAGACAGCGGGGTCAGTTTGGCTTTTGTCACCACAGCAACACGGGCTCTGATGTAAGTATAGGCGTATATCACCTCTGGATGGGTTCTCCCTAGGTACTGGCAGCAAAGTGAATACTCAGGGCCTGACTCAGAATAGATAACTTTCTTCATAGACTGAGGGGTTGCGCACTTAAAACAAAGGAGCTTGAGTTTGTGATGGTTCTAATGTGATTCTAATTGCTTTTTAGACTGTAGCAGGTCCAACTGTAAGTTCTGGTCCTGGAGGTCTGGTGCCCAGCACAGTTTGGTGATTTCTTTTCTGCTCTAACACACCAACTAAACCAAATAATTAACTGAAGAGTTGAAAAGGGTATGTTTGAGCAGGGAAATCACCAAACTCTGCTAGATTTCAGCGCTTTGGGACCAGAATTGTTGTGCTGAATGAGTGGAATAATCCCAAAATGGTTCTACCTTTTCTTTTTATTATCTATCATTTCTACATTTGCTGGTTCTGAATTATGCTCAAGATTAACTGCTTATAGGCCCACCGTAGCTCACATTTAATGTATCTGTTGGTACTCCTGTCTCAATTATGATAGCCCTTTAAAAAATAAAATAAGGATCAACTAACACTAATTTCAGGCCAGTTTTTCCATTTTATTTCAGCAATGTAGGTGGTCTCTGTCCAGCCACTCTTGTTTACACCTCACTCTCTCCTCTCTGGCTATGAAGCAGCCTTGTCATCTCCACTCTCATACAATCCTCTGTGACTGTAATCCCTTTGGAGGCTTCTCAGCCCAAGGCAGAAATAGCCTCAGCCCCTTAGGCCCAGTGGTTATCACCTTACACCTTGAGCCGGATGTCACTGGCTCTGCGCTAAATATTGCTGTTCATTACCAAAGTCAGAAGCAAACTGACCTAAAGTGAGTGCACTCTTCTGTCATTCCTTGAGCAAATATTATAAATAATGGTAAAAGCTTGATGAAGATCAAAAGGATTTTTTTAATTATTGAATTAGTTTAGTGTGTTTTGTTAATGTATCACTGTGAAGCTCAACTCTATGTCTGTTAACAGGTAGTTTGAATAGGATATTTCCCTATTCAAACCTCATGCAAATTTATCTCTCCTTGTTGAGTTCTTCTGCTAAGTATTATGCAGTACCTTTCACCAGTTTATGAATGAAAGAAGTCTTCTTGGGAATTTGGGGAAAACTCATTTAGGTGCCATAGTGGGATTAAAAACCTTAATCCTGAATCTCTCTTTTTCTCTCTCTCTCTCTCTCTCTCTCTCTCTCTCTCTCTCTCTTACACATATCCAGAAATGCATTTAGTATTTCCTAGGGAGTAATAGTGCAGGTATGAGGGAACAGTGGGTGAATGTATCCTCTGTTGGTTATCAGGGATTACACAACCTCTCAGCCAGAGGCCCTGTGCACACATCCTACACACGCAGTGACAGATGAATGATGTCTATAAGACTGTGCTTTATATGCCACCCTTATTTATCTGTGTCTGAGCACTTATAAATCTTAGAGATTGCTAAATGCTTATGAAGTATTTATCAGTCTCTGTTAGTCCATGAATAAGTCTGTTACTTGAAGAGGCTTGAATGTATTCTGTAGTCACATCCATATTTTTGTTTATGTTGCAAAAACCTAGTTTGAAACCTAGCTTGTCAGGCTGAGTACATTTTTTGTTGGCAGGCTTGGAGAGGTGTAGATTGTACTGACTTTTATCTGCACCCTCTCTTGCATGTACATTTTGTTTGTGCGTAACTGAGACCCAAAGCCCTTCACCCATGGGCGACAGGCCACACACAGAATTCAGAAAACAATGTTGGCAGGTGTCCAGGTCAGGAGCAGATTCGCCAGAGGAATAAATGCTTACAATATTGCCAGTGTGAGCATGAGCCTGTGGGAGAATAACCAGATTAATGGGTCATTGTACTTTGGAGAGATGAGAAGTCAATGGGACACAGTGTTTTCCAGAAGACTGACAATTTCTAAAATGATTTGTTGAGCACAAGACATGGGTTGTTTTTGGGCGATGAAGTAGTACAGTACAGTACAGTAATGACATCACCACAGCAGTGGATGGTAGTGTGTTTGCTGCCGGCCACTTTATTGGAGACACTGGCCTTTTTCTTAGACACACTTGTTGATCCATCTTACAAAGTGTATTGACGAGTGCACCATGATTAACAATAATCTCATATTGCAACCTGCAGTTTGGTCAAAACAGGGTTAATGTAACACGTACTGCTATAAGGATATTCAAATGCTGGTTGTGAGGAGGCAGGATGTGATGATCTGTTTCTGAATGACCAGTGAAAACTTTGAGTCTTGAAAGTGGCTGACTCATCATAAAGGGTTAGTGACCCTTAGATGTCACATGTATATAGTATGTGTCTAAATGTTTGTCAATACCTGCTCATCCAGAATTTGTCTTGGAATCAAGGGCATTAATAAGGAGTTTGTTCCATCTTTGCTGCAGTCAAACATTTAGAACATTTGCTGTGAGCATTTGATTACATTCAGCCGCAACAGCATTAGTGACGTCAGGTACTGATGTTGGATGTTTAGTTCTGAATCACAGACTCCTCCAGCTCATCCCAAAGTTTTTGGATGTTGCTCCATCACTCTAAAAGTGAATTTCCACTGCTCCGCATCCCAATGCTAAGAAACTTTATATTGCTGTCACTACCATGCCCACTTGAGAATGGGCATGGTAGTCTTGGGCTCATGTGTGGCTGCTCCTGAGCGTACCATTCTATTGACCTGCTTTATGTGTGGAGATTATACAAGCTCTGTGCCTGCAAAAACACCAGTGTGAGCGATGGGTGCGCCTTAAAGTAGCTGAATTCACTAGTTAGAATAGGACGTGTGATTACTTTTGGACAAATATTGTACCTTTGCCACCTGTGATAGAGTAAAGGGGACCAAATAAAGACAGAGGAGAAGGCATGAAAAACCAGATCCAACAAGCCAATTTCCCACTTCATTTTATCATATCAGTATCCTTCTTCAAGCCAACATAGTTTAGTTGTTTATGTTTTTCTCATTCAAGCCACAAAACCCTCATTAAGATGTTTGTACACCCAGTTTTTAAGCCCAGACACACTTTTTGTTTTTTTTGGCTGCCGCCTTTCTTTCAGGATGCTGTGAAAATATTGTTTAAGTGAGCCTTTTAGTGGGTACAGTGGTTCTGGTGTTGCCAGCATTGTAGCTGTAACAATGAGGCTCAAATCAAAAGAATAAGGCTCCTTGAAGTCTGCAGAAGTGCCAGAGAAAATTACTGGTGTGCCCAAAACGCACCTTTAAACCTATGGGATAATTGGTGAGAATCTGTTCAGGAGTTTAGACTGGAACATAGAGTTTAGGTGGGAAGGTCACTTTTCTATATTCAGTAAAACACCAGGTCACAAGTGTTTGTGGCACGATAGAGACATTTTCTTTGGACCCTACAATGACTTCCTCCTTAGAATCATCGTATGAAAATGTTTGTACTGCATGTCCTTGCTCTTTCAGATAATTTCCCAGTTACACAAATCCATTTAAAATAAAGAGTGGAAAAACACTTTCTGCAGCGGTTTCACAGTAATTGATTCACTTGCTGGCAGAATGTTTGAGTGCCTCTGATGCATCTTTAATAGGATAGAGATTAGTACAGAACCCTCAACCATCAATATAGTCAGCAGAGAGAGGGAAAGAGAGAGAGACTCAAGACTTAGGCTGCAGGCTCTTGCCTCATGCTCCATGTGTCACACACTGTGTATGCCATAAGGTGAGAACGACACAAGTAGTTCCTTTTTTATCCAGTCACTATGGTTATTTACCCTTAATTACTGCTTAATGTTTCTTAGTTTGCCGTCTCTCTTGTTCCCAGCAGTACCTTATCAGCAGAGCTCCTACGGCAGTGATCGAAGCTCTGGACCAATCTACTGCTTCCGCTGCAGAGAACTGTGTAAAGGGGAGGTTGTACGAGTGCAAAGCATCCACTTCCATGTGAAGTGCTTCACTTGCCAAGGTAAGGCCTTCTAGTTCATGTGTTTAACTAATACACTAAGCCTGCTCTTTGCCCACATATAAAACCTTCTGACTTCATTTCTTAATTTTTTTTTTTATAAATCATTTGAACATGTACACATTCTTTTACATTCTGTGAATATTTTATGATGAAAGGATAAATATAAATTCTTCAGAATTACTTATCTTCTTTTTTCATCTCTAGTAAAGTTTCAAACCATTTTGCATATGAAGGATATGATGTTACATTGGTGATATTATATTATATTATATTATATTAAAAAAATCTTATTACATAATAAGGCTTATTATTCAGTAACTACTGGGACTTTAGTGCAAACTGGCTGAGCTATTCTTAGGATATAGAAGTGTGTATTAAAACTTTGGGCCTGCCAGCATGCCCTGGCCATTTTAGGGGTTAATTTCAAAACAGCAATTAAGTATTTTCATTTTTGAGTTTTTCATTTTTGAGGAGATATAAGATACTCCACTTGTATAGGGAAGGGGGAAATCAACGGAAAATAAGTGAAAAACAGGAGCTTCCAAAACTGGAGTTAAAAAATTATTAAAAGATATACAGAAAATGGGATTCCTAACAACTCCCATGTAAGACCTGCTAGACCTGCCAAAATTGTCCCAATCAGATAAACATTACTTAAAGCTTTCATATGTGAGGGGGAGAAAAAACCCCGCTCTTGCTTAAGAAAAATTTAGCAATTGTTCCTGTCTATCCTTTCACTGTGAAAGGACAACACTTTGGGTCTGTAAGGACATGTAGCTCATTACTGAGTCATTAATGAGAAGAGGAAATTAATGAAATTAATGAGAAAAAGAAGAAAATTTGCAAATCAAACACAGAAGCAGCTGGTGTTCTCAAAACAATGGGCTAGCTGTCACAGAGCCCAAACCTCAACATCATTGAGTGTGTTTATTCAATGTTTAATTGGATTCTTAGAAGCAGAAAATGTAACCAACTCCTAAGACTGAACTTTGAAGGTGTTTACTAGAAGCATTGAAAAATATTTCTGCATGGCTATGTGATAAAGGCAAAGAGCCACACTAAAAAAAAAGAAAATATGTTTAGTTGTTAAGGTTTCTGTGTATTTTTCTTCCTGAAGCTAAAAAAAATGAATAACCTGAACTTAATGGCTGTTTTGACTGGAGGTTAAATGAAGGGTGGTCGCTGACATTTGCACAGTAATGTGTAAGATAAGGAGATCAGTTAATTTCTGCAGTACCTTTTAGTGGCTACAGGTTTTTTGGCTTATGCAATAGAAGGAAAAATGACTTTGCTGGCAGATTCTAATATTTGGCTCTTAATTTAGACGATGGGACAGTTCCTTGGACCACAATACCATATTTTAAAATACGTTATTTTCAACCTAATAGCTGTTTACCTTTAGAGGGTAGCAGTGAACTGGATGTTTGAAGGGTTCTGGCTGTACTCTTGGGACTCTGGTAGTGTTTGTTTGCGTCTGTCTCCCAGGCTGTCTGAAGCAGAGACCTGTTGCATAATAAGTTTATCTAGTCTTGCATCATACAAACTTCAGCTGAGTGACACTCCATGAGCTCAGCGATGTCTGTAAGTTTCTCTATTTTTGCAGCAACAAGACTTTATATAGTTAAAACTCTGATATGCAAGCATGTTGCATGTAATGTATTTAATATATTGTGTATGATTTAATATATTATGATATATTGTGGCTTTTTTAATCTAATTTTAGGAAAGTATAAAAAACACACCACCATATGCATAAAATCTGAGTAAAAGAAAAAAAAAAACTTTTTATGCAATCAAAACACTGGGATCTGCATTTGCATTTATCACAGTCCCTGTAACACCCAACATCATAGCACTATTTTTTGTGCATTTGGAACAAAGAAATAAATACTTGCCTATATCAGTAAAAACAATAAAGTAAAGTTATTTTATACCTCCTTGGCCACAGCAATGTCAGTGATGTGTTGTCTGGAGGGTATGGTGTAATGGGGCTCCATTGTATTCACCGTATGACGGAACCCTTGTTCTGACACATTGTGCTGCCTTGTCGAAATGTCCTACCATAGGGAATAATTTAAATCACACCAAGTCAGCTTCGTGTTCGCCAGCTTCTTGTTCGAATGTACCTGTTCCACCTTAAATGGTGCACTAGTTATATAACGCCTTAGGCGTTACTGCACCGATTAAGGTAGAACAGGAAAATTCAAACAAGAACCTGGCAAATAGGAAGCTGACTTTAACCTTTTCTAAATCTCCTTATCAGAAAATGTTACCAGCATTAAATGAATAGGTAGAATATTGTGATAGCCTACATCAACTTATCAGGGTGTAAATAGCAATATTAAGCTGAACAGTACAATAGACTGTACAATAGGCTTGAAGTAAGATTGAAACATCAAAAACACAATTTATTACGCTATAGTAATGATAAGGCATACTTGCTCAATAGGTAGGACAAACAACTTAATAAGGAACCATTAAAAAAATACTGTCATTTGTAATTTTACGCTTTTCTTCTTAACTCTAAAAAAATTTAACAAAACCAACTGGCAGACAAAAAATTAGGAATGAATGAATGAATGAACAGGCCAAGTAATTATATCGACTATATAATTATATCATCTTTTCTTACACTCCTATGAATGACAGTGATTTATTCACACCAATATTTTTTAAGCTTTGAGACCAACTCCAAATGAGCTAACCTATTCTCCTTTTATGTTGAATCAGAGCCTCTTACCATGAAGTTACACATCAGTAACAGGTTGTCCACTTTAAATTGGACACAGTTGAATTACACGGTTGGGGCTTTGCAATCACTTGTACTATAGCTTTGTTAGTTACATTCATATGGTTTGCCTTGTGTTCCTGTTCTGTGGTTGTCTCCAAACTGCTGTTTCCACATGGAGCCTGCACTGCATTTGAGGGGTTGCTGTGGTAACTGTGTGAAGGGGCACCCTACCCCTGGTTGGTGGTTATTCTCAGCAACGCTATCAAACCAGCAGCCAATTGGAGCATTCCATTTCAAAACCGAGGGCACAAGTAGGGGGTGGAGGGGAGGGACACAGAGAGAATGAGAGAGAGAGAATGAGAGAGAGAGAGAGAGAGAGAGAGAGAGAGAGAGAGATGGGGGCATAGGACCTCCCCATTGTTATTACATCAGGAGTTGCCTTGGAGAACAAGAACTTGCTCAGCAATAATATTTTCTCCCCTTGTTTTTCTCACTCTCCCTCCCTCCCCTAACATTTTACCACTTGAAGATTTCCTTTAGTAAAATGTATTTAACCTCATCATGAAACCCATCTTACCCCGTAGTCTTTACAACAATTGTCCTTGCTTAAAGCTTTACAGTTTAATAATTATTACTTTTGTTTTATTATATTGATAACTCTGTATTGAAAAGTCTGCATTTTGGATGTTCTTCCTCTTTTCGATGTCAAAAAATGACAAAACATTGCGAACATATAAAGCATACTTTTTCCACAACACTGTAAAAACTGCAGTAACTTATAAAATAAAATATAAACTAATGTAAATCATAATAACACATCTCTTCTATTTACGAATTCAAGTATGATTGATTTACAGTTCACAGTCTACATTTCATACAGAATTTCTCTGTTTCAGTAAGCTACAAATGAGAAATAATTCACATGAAATTATTCTGTTTTTGTTAAACTCATAACTGAGACTCCTAAGGGTACTATGTACTGAGACAGTTTATATAGAGTTAGCTAGATGTCATATGGTGGTTTGTATACAGTTGCCAAAACCAACAGGTTTTCATTCTCCATCTGCCTCAGAACTGCCCTGATTGACAGTTTTGATTTAGTTTGTGGCATGTGCTGGTTGACTGGTGGAGCAGAACATGCTGATTCGAATAGAGGCTGCAGGGCTGTGGAGCTCAGCTAATTGGATAGAGATGCCACTCTTGTTCTAGAGGCATCCACTTTCACCCAGTGTGTCCAGTCAGAGGTCAGTGAAGCTACAGTATGACCACAGATGCTTGCTTTCCTATATGCGCTGCACTTTCAGCCTCTGTGTGACAGCCTGCCTGACATGCAGATTGTTCCTCTCACAAAGCCACATGTATGATCTTTCTCACTCACTCATTCAGTCTCATTCAGTTTGTTTTGTTTATGTTAGCATTCTGTAGTTGTTCTTGGAACTGAATTGAACTGAGTTTTTTGGTGATTAGGGGGTTAGATTGTGTTTACAGTTTATGCCATTTAGGGGCAATTTCCCAGTCAAGATTAGGGAAATGGTCTAGGTATGAATCTAAGGATTAGAGTCATCTAAGGATGACTCTAAGGAGGACAATCAGCACTGCTTGTGTAATTTAGGCGTAATCTTTGTCCCAGACATTTGTGTGGTCTCTCTTGGAAAGACATTTGAATTACGCAATATTGAAGTATATGGTAAAAGTTTGTAGACACCTTGTTATCAAACTTTTCCTCTGAAATGAAGGTTATTAATAGGGAGTTTCAGTAAGACAAGCATTAATGAGGTCAGGTATTAATTTTGGATGATTAGTTCTAGATCACAAATGCCATCTCATCCCAAAGATAAGCCCAGTGTTGAGAAGACTTATATCTCTCTATCTGATGCTTGGCATGGGGCATGGTGACCTTAGGCTCATGTGTGGCTGCTCCAGAGTGTCTTATTCTGCTGGGAGTCCTTTTCTGTGGAGATCATTCAAGCTGTGTGTGTGCAGTTGAACAGTGCCAGCAATGTGTGCGCTGTTAAATACTGAACAAGGGGTGGTCATTTGTGGTCCGGAGGGGTCTGTGGTATAGTGGACCACTGGTATAGTGCCATGTTGCCAACTATACCCAGCCTTGCTAGCAGTGCCAAAATTTGCATTATTTTTCTCCACATATTAAAAACAGGCGTACATTTGCATTGTCTTAAAGTGTGTTGTTAGAAGGATTCTAAATAGCAGTACTCATATTGATGAAGCACAAGTCTTGAAAATGTACTGAAAGAATATTTGTCATCAA